TTCCCATTTGAAACATTTGCTTCAATTAAATTTATCACAAACACGGTGTAGCAATCACAAGCTATTCCACAGGCAAATAGCCTTGAAGCAGAAGTTACCAATTCTCCTCTGAATGCAGTGTGAAAAGATCTTTGCCACCTGAACGCTTTTCCATTAGAATGTGCTAGGTCTTCAAGGTTGGATAACCACAGAAATAGCCTGCAATATGCAAGTATACATCTTCCCCTTCTGTATGTGCAATAGGATGTCACGCACAGTCATTTGTATGCCACGTTCTGGCCTGAACCCTATCTGGTAGGGAGATAGGGTCTTGAGATAGGGCCTTGTTCACTGACTTTAAAACCATTTTGCTCAAGAAAGAAAAGGTGCGTCACAGGTGGTAATTAACTAAGTCCATACATCTCATGGCGAGCTTCCTGCATACTGAATACTTGGGAAAAAAATCCCATTCTGCCTGCTGGAGCAGCATTAGTTTTCTCTGTGTAGCTGGAGTTGCCAGTGCTTTTAAGGGTATTTCAGAAAGGCCATGGTTCCAAGGCTGCAGATCTGAAGAGCAGGTTTCAATGTTGTTAGGTATACAAATGTGAGAAAAAGGAGAAACGTTTCTATTTCTGCCATCAAATTACATTTCTGGTTCTCTAGAGAGGCCCATCGTGAAACCGTATGTCCTTTCTTTCAAAGTTTGGTTTTTTGTTTGGATTTTTTTTTTAAAAAACATTATTCTGCTCAAATGTTGCTCAAGGTTCCCAAGGCAACACAAAGACAATCAAGAATAAAGCAGCCGCTTGCCGCTTTTTTTTTAAAGTTCTGACATCTGGAGTTGAACTGGTCCAAGCACTGCTGTAGAACAGGATAAGGAATCGCCTGGACTGGAGACTACCTCCCTCTTCCATAGATGTTTGGCATTAGGCATTCACATTACTCAATTTTTACTTCAGGTACACTTTATTCTAAAAGAAAGATTTTTGGCTCATCAGGTACTGCGGTTCTCTAACAAGCTACACTCAGATTTAGCCAAATCCGCAATTGTGGCATGGAGAGCTCAGAAGTATATGCGGGAAGACTGCTGTACCATTTCAGCTTAGATCTTTGTTTAGTGGAAATAGGGATCTGTGCATAATAGGAGACAATTTATGTTTTTAATGTATTCACTCAATCTAAACATCAAGTCCTCAGCATTTAACAGAAAGAGATTCTGGTCAGACTGGGACTTTAGGTCTTCAAGCACTTCAGGACAATGTAGGAACAAGCACAAAGGCAAAATAAATTACAATCCACAGTTTGGGGGTTAAACAAATCCCTAACTGTTAGGCATTATGATGAGAGCTATGTGAAGACAGATTATACCAGAAGTACTTATTAGTACATTCTTCAGTTGAGGTACTCGATCCATGCTGTTTTCAAAGACTCAAGAACATTTAATCCTGTGATCTGAACCACACCGATAACTCCTCTTGCCGTAAGTAATGCATATACCATTATGGGCATTCTGCCCAGCTCCAGATTTCCCACTCTATGGTGTGAAATATTTCAGTTTTCCTCTAAACCATTCAAAACCTAGACCTAGATTCAATGTCTGCATTCTACGTCTACATTCAACACCTTTATTCTAAATCAATTTTGGTTTCAGTTCTTCAGAAGCATATAGAATGTATGTTAAATGGATGACCAGCTCACTGGACTAAGTAAAGAAATAGGGTTTTTACTTCAGAGAGTGACAGATCTGGTTCGCTATCAGACTTGTCTATTTTGAAGTGAGGCAGTGAACACCATCTAATTTTCAGCATGCAGGTATAGATATTTGACAAACTATCACTGCTGCCCTTTTGAGTAGTTTTAACAAATACTAAAAAGATTGAAACGTAAAGGAAATTGAAATGTCTGTACTATATAGTCCCACTGTAACACCACCCATGATCAGCACAGTGAAAAGCCATGAAACCTCACACTGCTATAACACACACAGAGGAATAAATCTATTTAGAAGTTTCCTGACTGATTCTTAGTATCTAGTGAACACACGTAAAAGTAGAAATGAGGCTTCCCATTACAAGCATAGGTGATTGCAGTCATGAGCCCTCCTCCAAAATCAACTTCCTACCTACCACCCATCCATCTTAGTCTGTACTGCTTACTGCCATCCATTGTGTCTGATAGAGAAACTAAGATGATATGTTTCCCCAAGTAAATCAGACTTTTGTAAAAACAAACATACTACACACAAGAAAAAAGCATGTTAGAGACACGTAATCCAATACCGCACAATGTTGATAACTATGCTTTCTGTATTTCAGCTATACAGACTGCATTTTAAAATATTTCTAACAGATTACACATTACAGAAAAGTTGAAGTGTAACACTAGGAAACTGTTCTTAAAATAGTAATATTTAAATTTGGTTCTTCCACTTCTAGTAGAAAAACTGGTAGTGGCCTAACCGTAACTGAAATACACAACCACTATTTGAAGAAAAATATACTAGATGATTCTTCTAAGTATTTACCTGATTTAGAGATAAGCTTTCACATTTGTACAGCGTATCCAGACATTATGTTAGGAGGGGCCAAATGTTATTTACAAATACAACGCCACACAATAAGTGAACCATGTAAAAGGAGCAGAAAGCTCTTATCAGAACTATCAAAACAGGATCTGGATCAAAATGAAGCCAAAATAAAAGGAGAGAAATAGCAAAGAATACCGTAATATTAAGAGATACCCAAGAAAGCTCTCATATGAGTTTTAAAGCTTACATGTTATTCCAGTTTTCACAGGCGTCAATTTGGCTTTTTGTTTGTTTTCATCTCTCTCTTTCCATATCTATATATTTATGTATACATGGTAATATTTCACCAAGTTTTGTTTCAGATCAGTATTCTTTCCTCACTTGTGTCCTTTTGTAGTGCTACTGACATATACTAAACAATCTTTCCTGTGATGTATTTCATTATTCTATTAAATTTACATTTGTATTTGAACATTTTTAAAAGAATTCTATAGAGAAATCATTCATTAAAAGAAGTGATTCAAGTTCAAAAGAGACCTTTTTCAAATATGGTATCCACACTGAAAAGAGGAATCTGCAAGGTCTCTGTGCTTCTGAAGGCTGCTGTATCTTCCCTACAAGAGATCACTACTCCCTAGGGCTCAAAATGTTAATGATGGACAGCAGTTATTTTTTCTTCTCCGGGCAGTTTGTATACAGTAGGCGTTTTACAAGCATTTCTGCAACTCCCCTGTTAAATTATTAGCAGCGCACTACAAAATGTATACATTATTTCTATAAGCTGGGTAGCTCAATACTTTCAAAGCTCTAACTTCATAGTTTTAAGACTGAATTAAAAAAATCCCAGGATAGATCAAATCCTTCTTACCTGTTATCATTGACTTTGAGAGCTTACTCACTTGAGTGAGTATTTTAAGTATGTCTGTGAGACCAGCAGACACTCTTCCAAGAATACTACTGACAGGATAATTTTCTTCCCCTCTGATTTTGTTCACTGAGTTCTTATTCAATACACCTGCTATCCTTTTCGTAAGCGCAAAGCTCCTCCTTGACACCCCCCCAAAGGACAAATATACTCACACGCGTTTGGGTCTTATGGCCAAATTTACCCTTCATGGTTTGTAGAAGGAGATATGCTGCACCAGACATACCACCACCCATAGCATCAGCAAAAACGTTCTTGTACATTCTTCATCAAAGCATGCCCAGTTCAGATTTTACCGTGGCAGCAAACAATAAAACCAGTTACTCAAATCCAACCCACAGAATCCTGGCATTAACCAGAAATCTAGCAAAATACCTAGTACAGTAATGACTGTCACTGCTCAAGAGACACTCTTGGCAAGTTTCCAGGGCCCAAGGAATAAAAGTTACTCTGCTGATTTTTTTTTTTATTTATAGAGTCAAAAATAAGTGCAGAAATCATAGAATCTGCAGTTATTTTTATTCTCCTCAGTAGGAGGATTTTGCTTTAGTAGGAGGTAAATTGCTCTCTGTTTACATTGTCTGTAATAAAAGCCTGCAGTTGAGCAGCCTTGTCCTCACGCTGCAATTACAAGGAGAGGGCTTTCATGGTCTGTGCTCTAAGACTCTGCAGGCCTCAGTTGGCCTTTTGGCCACAATTTGATCGCCCTTCACTTTTGTAAAACCATATATTAAAGCATCTTCAAATCTCCAGAAGGGTCAAAGTATGGGAAAATTATTTAATAATCAAGTCCATTCCCAGCCCTTGTAGATAATTAGTTTTTACAGACCATTATCTATAAGCCTACAGACTAGGGGCTCTGATTCAGCAGAGTACTTAGGCAAATGCTGAAATATTTATTCTGAATAAACTTAAGCAGGCACTAACTTCAGGCATATGGAGAAGTGCCTGATTGGTTATGAATGGACTTAACCATCCATCTAAATACCTTAATGTATTAAGACCTTGATTTGGACAGCATTTTGTATGAATTTATACAGAGCTGGAACACCGAGAATACAGTGACTTGCTTTTACAGCTGCGGTTGCAGAGCAGCTACCAAATTGTGCATATGACCAACTTCATTAGAATAGAGAAAGGTATTACATTTCTTGGTGTTTTTTATTTTATTTTATTTTACTTTAATGTTTTAAGAGCTATTTAAAGTATAAACACTTAATAGCGTTTCACTGCACTCTCTATTCCACTAGAGGTCAGCCTGCAACAGAACCCCAAGCAAACACAGGAACTGCTGCACACTGGTAGCACTGACATTATTTTCTTTCTCTATTTTATATATTAGAAAGATTTCTTCAGAGCCATAACTTAGATCTCTCACTAAAATGGAGCAACAGGAAGATATAATGGTGCATTTCATTTATGAATGACCTATAATAAATTACTATGAAGTATTCCAGGTGCCAAACGACAGAATGCTTTGTCTGCACATGAACTATATTTCACATACTTTAATTTGGCTGACACATAAAACTCATTTGACATTTTGCAGGTATTTCTTTGAAAGGATATTTGGTTCTTGTTGAGCGTTAAGGTATGGAGGTGGGGTAACCTGGGTAACAGAAGGTCATTTCCAAGTAGATTGTTGTCCAAGATCAGCTCTTCCAAGTAACTGAATGTTTTCAGTCCTTCTAGTGACCTGCAAACGACAAAGGCAACAGGAAAAATGATACTCCACTAAATCAGGGAGGCCATTATGAGCTGAAATAAATATTTTAACCTTCCCTTTCAGGAGTGGGAATAGTTTTGGTTTGGGCCTGTCAGAAGAGTGAATGACAAGCATTAGTGGCAAGGGGAGTGCTGGCACTGCAACACATCCTTCACATGCTGGCAGGATGAAGGATGGGGGTCACTTAGTGAGTAGCCAGGATCCAAAACAAAAGGCTTCAGATATGGGGCCTGCAGGATGAATTTGTCAATGTCTTGTGCCTTCAGGCACCCAGCCTCGCCTGACCCTAACCTCCATTCCCAAGATAAATAACTCTGTCACAGTTCACCTTCATTCCCTGGACACAAATTTAAGTTGTCATCCATCATTTCTGCCAAGAAATATCATACCCCGCTAACAATAATAAATACAACTTCAAGTATCATTTCTTAGCAGTTACCTTACATGCAATAATAGGAAATGGAGAAGGGATTTTTTTTTCCTTTTTATTAACCACTTAATTTGCTTCTTGAGTCCCTGCAAACAAAATAAAACGTTCTCTACAAAATAAAGTGCAGCATTACTCCAGACAGAAAAGGCATTTGCTTTCTTTTCGGAACTTACTGTCCCACTGTCAAGCCACAGGTCAGACTGCAGAGAGCAGCTTTAAAAAGGAGCATTTCACAACATGGAAGTGCAGATGATGGCTTGTAAATAAACAAGATTCCGGAGGTATTCATTCCTCTGATAGCAAAGTACAGGGAAAAAAACTAAAAAGAACACTTTGGTACCTTGTTAAGGCATCTGTTCCAAACTTGATTCCTAATGCTTGCACATTCCAACAGGAGAAAAAACCCCACATATTAATCAACTAAGACACATGGTATACGGAGCATACGCACAGACACGCATTCACAGCTCATTCACCTACCAGACACCTAAAGATATGCTGAGATTGCATGACTTGACAGCTGATCTACTATGCCTACCAGTGGGAAGATCATCACTGTATCTCCTGGCTGTTTTATAAAATGTGATTAATAAGGGGAGATGCAGTCTATACTATTTATTCAGTTTCCACTGACATTTATACTGAGGGGATTTCCTCACCCTCCCCCCAGTTTTTGGCAAAGATCAAAATACAGCCAAGGTCCCTGTTCTACAGGCACTACTGCTGGAGGAAAATACAAATATTATCAGAAAGTATATGGGTTTCAAATTAGACAATTTAACATTCATCTGTCCAACAAAAACAAGATACTGCTTTTGTAGATACGACTTACTGACCACTTATAAATCACAGTTAGAGGGTTCAAACAACCAAAAGAAATCAAGTCCGTGACCTTTACACTGGGTACTGTACACTAAACTATGAATATTCAAGTAACATTTGCACAACACTGAAACAGTGTATTTCAGTCCAAGGACTCCAACGCGCTCACAATCTGTTGACTCGGCCTTCTGAAAGGGAGGTACAACTATTACTAATGCCATTTTGATGCTGGGCAGCCAGACCTGAAGAAAATTTGCCATGCCTACAACCCTATGGCATATCTATATCGTTACAATGCACTGAAAGTACAATTTCTGAAGCTGAAAGAACAAAAGCCTCTATTATTAATGTTCTACTGAAACATATCGTTACAATGCACTGAAAGTACAATTTCTGAAGCTGAAAGAACAAAAGCCTCTATTATAAATGTTCTACTGAAACAACCACCACAGTAACAGTCGCACTTTTTGCACTTGCCTTTAACAAGCTGTTTCGGAAAAAACTCGATTCAGCCTACATAAACTGTACACCGTTAAGAGCTGTGCTAGCATGCTGTACTAAGTTAGCTATTGCAAAGGGTCGCAACAGACTTGGTTTTGCCAAAGTCAAGATCAGAAGAGAGATCAGCAAACATTTCAGACGCTGCTTTCCCCCAAGTACCTTTAAAAGGCAAAATAACCCAGAGGAAGTAGCAGTGAGTTTATCAAGCTGTTATGAGTTTTCATTTCAGTTTATTTGACAAACCTAGTTTAGCAAATTCCCCTTAAATACTCTTTATTATATAAATAGTGGATTATTTCCAAACCTCACATTTCAGTGCAAGACTTTGACTTGCCAAAGGAGTTCAGAGAAGGCCACCTCCTTGTCAACACCACAGAGCCTTATGGGACGTTAATAGGTCCTTTGTGAAAAAACATTGCTTGGGCTCTGGTCAGTGTCAGCGTCAAAATACACATTGTTCCTGAGTTATGTTATGCAAATATAATACTCTTATCATGAGAATCAGCAAATGGTTGGCAACTGGCAAGGAGAAGAAAGCCCACATCCAAAACTGCTGCAGGGGAGGCATAAAACAAAATGACAAGCCATGAAGTGGGACAAAAGGCCTTGAAACACTAGAGGGAGTTGCCTATTGAAACAGCCTTTCTTTCACAAGCCTGGGCTGAACACAAGGGTACTAGTTTCATAGACAGGCAGGGAAAATTGTGCGCAAATCTCCTTACACCTGTCTGGTTTTGATAATTTTTGCCATGTAATGTTATTAGCTGCTCAGTTAAAAAGGAGCCGTGTTACACAGGGGGTTGCTTATTAATTGTTGTTTTCATGTCATCAGAGCAGTGTGCACTTGGTGATTTAATCACACAAATTCAGAGTCCAGGGAGATGGGAGGAGTTGCCACAGTACAGAGAGAGGGTGTAGCCATTAACATAAATTTACATCCACATGTTATTTCGCTATTCACAGAATTCTTATTTTTTCATCTTGAACGGAAGAAAAAGCTAGCACCAAAACAAAATTGCTAAAACAGTTGGTAAAGAAACAAAGAAGGAAAAAATGTGTTTGCTATCATCCAGTGATACTAGCTACTAAATTCAAGGCAACAGTCTCTACCACCATAATATATAAGGAAATATTGCCCAGCAGTTGTACTCCACAATTTAAAAGTTTTAAGTACAATCCGCACAATAGGTTTTACGGTACAAATTTCAGCAAGTCCTGTAACTTCTGTGTGCCTCACTTTCCCACCTGCAGATGGGAGATAACATCACTTACCTAAGAAAGGATTGCAACCGTGAATTAGTATATAGAAAGCATTTTTGAGAAGCTGAGGTAGAAATCAGCACCAAATAGTGGCATTTTTATTTTTAATGAGGGTGAGTTATATTGATGTAATCCAAATATTTCCTTATGAGCCCATTACAAAATAGGAAAGGAGTGTGTATATATATACACGGCACAGCAAGAAGCACACAAACACCCTAAAGGAGACGAGTATAAAAAGAGGGAAGTCCCCCAAGAAAGAGAACCGGTCTAAAATTAAATCTGTGCTGTTTTCTCAGAGTTCACAGCAGAAAAAATGTCTCCCCATACCAGTGTATTAAAACAAACACACAATCTTACCACCACAATACAACCAGCACTGAAGGGGCAGTGGCAAGCAGGTTTTTTCCCCAGTTTCAAAAGGCTAATAAACATCACTAAGGTGTATTGCAGGTTGCTTTTCCCTGCTCTAATGACATGAAAGTTGCCCATTATCTCACCCACAGGTACCATCTCAGTTACCTCATTGCAGGGCTCACACTCTGCTCCCAGAGGAGAGCAAGTGCTGCCAAGAGATTTCCATTGCAATTTCCAAAGTCACATCAAACCGACAAAACATCACAACGTATTCAGCGCCGCCTCATTCAAACAGAAAAAACTTTAAGTTTCCACTGTAATTAACCCTATCCTCGTTAAGATAATTATGATCAAGCTCCCTGTCACAGCTAATATCACAGCATCATTGCCTATGGCTCACGCTTTGCCCTCATTAGCTTACAAAAACACTGCGCTAAACAGGAAACTGACTCCCTCTGCAAAACGACTTAAGATGTTCTGTAAGCAGACAGTAAATAATCCTTTCGAATACAAAGGTCTCAGAAATGCCATTTTATCCAAGTCCTTCGGCTAATCGGTATGATTTCTTCCAGCTTTCTTTTCCATAATTCATTCATGGTTTGTAACAAAGTTTTAATCATAAAGGAATGTCATGGCAGAGATTATTTTTTTTTCTATGTGTATGCATGGCAACTGTCAACTACACTATTTCAAACGGTCCCTCTGGCCTGACAGGGATTTGGTTACAAAACCTAGAGAGCAGCTCTTCATTTTGGTAATATTTGACAATGAAAACACGAGATTTTCTAAATGAAAAAAAGCAGAAGCCTCTCAAGTAATGGACAAACCTTGGTACTCTGCAGTTGTCCTTGTCCGGGAGAACAAGCTGTTCAGAAGTATATGCTGAAAAAGGAGTGTTCCTCACATTTTACCCCACCCCTCCATTAATAAGACAGCTGCCTCGTATCTAATGACTTTTTCCTCCTGTTTAACAGGAAAAGAGAGAGCAGTTAACAATATGTAAATGAGAGAGTTTGGCTTTAGCCTTGAAATTGATTTGCACTCTGTTGACAAGAGATAGCCATTACCAGAAGTTAAAGATAGAGCTGTTACAAAACAAGAGCTTTTTAAAATACCTTTTTTTCTTGCCTTTTATGTTTTAACAGATTACAGGAGAGCAGAATCAACACGAGAACCCTAGTACCAGATAATTTCAGTATTTAAAGAATAGAAATGTAATTTCTATTTCTCCAGAACCTGCCAGCCAAGGAGCACAAAGCATTTTTTTTTTTAAACATTAATGAATTACTCTTCAAAAACCTGCTGAGCTTAAAATTCCATTTTGTAGTAAAGCAGAGAGAGGTTAAGTGACTAACGAAAGGTGACCTCCAGCAATTTTCTAAGAGACAAGAAATAAAACCCAGAGCTCCTGACTTCTAGTCCTTTGACTTAACCTCACCAAAACAAAACAAAGAGCAATAAATAAATGTTGTATATATAAAAACATAAGACAGACATATGTGTAAGTTTAGATTTTGCATAATTCCCTGGGAATGCAAAACATCATTTCAGGTTTACTTGCTTTGATTCCTGTTCAATTTTAAATTCCATTTAATCTGAA